GAGAAGGCTAGTGCTTTGTGTTGTTCTTTTTGGCGTCTTGTGTTTATCCGATATATACGCTATGTTGCAGAGCGGTTTAAGACCCTTTTTAAGTTTATGAACCAGCCGTGAAATAAATGTTTGAAATTAGAATTGTTGTAAGTTTATCGTTTTGAAATGGTTGCCAACGAATTTTTTTCTCGGATTTCTGTTCTGATCATTCCATTATTGGCTGCCTTTCTACCAGGGCTACTGTAGCTGTAAGGTTGCTGTTGTAAGGTTTATTTTGTACTCAAAACATAAAAATTATAATAGACAAAGATAATCTGTGCGTTTTTTTTATGCGAAAAGGTATCAAACGAGCAGACGGTTCACTTGATGTTAAGTGAATTCCGCCGCCCATGGACATCTCGAGCCACACCCGAGGGTTGCAGATGCGTTGACAACCTTTTGAAAATTGGGCTCCGGCTACCTCACTCACCAGACGAAACGCGAAAGAATTTGTCATACTTCCACTTTACGCTGGTCTTCTGTGAGGTCGTGGTACTTACCCGGACGGGCCTGCCTATTCGTGCAACAGCCGAGGCTGCTGCGTGACCCTACCACCGTTAAAACGTATTGAGGCAAGCGAAGAACTAGATTTTTTTATCTGTGAGACAAAATTGAGACATACAAATGCCAAATTTACACACAATGCTGCCAGCTCTTCTGTGCAATGTTGTGCTCACGATACCGGTTTGTTGCGTCGTAGCATTTTATCTTTATCAGCCGATTAGATTAATTTTAAAAATAAAGAATAATTGTGATAGTATGATAATTATGGGGTCCAGTAAAGGGGCATGTCGCTAAAAATAATTAAAAAAATCAAATTGAATGAAATACGATGCCTTTTTGAAGGAAAACTTCGTCAAGTGACCTGGCACCGGTGGAAAGACTTTGTAGCTCATGTGATTAACATTGAAGATGAATTGTGTCAGCTGGGCCATACGAAATTACTCATAGATTTATTGTAGAAGTAGGTGGCCAGTCTGATGATTTAGAATATTCCTTAGACAAGGAGTCAATATCTTAATGGATACGTGCATTTAATAAAGTAATTAAAAATATATGTTTCACACAATATACATCTATCTATACTACATTAATTTTGAATTAGTACGTATTAAATTTAATCACTGGTCATCGCATTGTAGGACGATCCCCCACTAGATGGAGTGACGACCTGTAAAAATGTGCGGGAAGTCGATGGATGCTGGTGGCTCAGGATCGTACTTCGTGGCAGTCTATGGAGGAGGCCTATGTTCAGCAGTGGACTCAAACAGGCTGAAATGATGATGATGACGTATTAAATAAGTCCACGAAGGGCCACGTAATAAATAGCTTCGGCGGTTGCACGAATAGGCAGGGCCTCACAGAAAACCGGCGGGAAGTGGAAATGCTATACTTTTGCCTTTCGTCTGGTGAGTGAGATGGCCAGGGCCCACTTTAATAAAAAGGTGGCGGCAACGCATCTGCAACCCTACGGGTGTTGCAAAAATCAATAGGCGGCGGTTGACAGGAGAACCGCCAGGTTATTATTAGAGTAGAAATTAAGAGAAAAAAGATTTAGGCGACTGCCTGTTTGTAATGTTTTTCGAACATATTATGTAGTATTTATATGATTTATGCTCCGTACCCTGACGATTTAATGGATTTTAACATCTGATGCGTCATTAGATTAGTTTTTGTAGTGGTAGATGTAACGTATTGTGTGAACGGTTCTTGTCATGTTAATGTTAACCAAATATCAAAACTTTGAACAAAATAATCATGGATGAAATTAAAAAAAACCTCAAAGTTGTTTGTATTGATTTATCTAACTTAATTTAACGTTATACGTAACAGTAATTAAAATGTTCCTTTAATTTTCTTAACTCACACACTGTCGCCCGGCGGCACGTTGGTGTCACACAAATCATTCAATATTTTGGCAAACATCTGGCAGTCATTAGCCTCGACGCCGCGTATGCTTGCCTTGTAACAATTATCGGTAATGATCGTGACAGCTCTGCGACGTCTGGCAGCAAAATGTTGCATCCAACAAAAGATCGACTCGTAATGTCTTCACACGATGTGCCCAATTCTGTCATACATATTTGTTGCCATGTAACATATACGAAACGATAAGTGATCGCTGATGAGTTGTGCAATCGACCCATAAAATGCATTGATTGCTCTACCCACTGCAGTGATGACGCATGACGTCTGTTGTTTTTACTCGCCGTCTCGACGTTTATTTGATTACTTTTAAACGAAAAATGTTTAATTTCATTAACTTTATTAATCGCATCTACAAAGTCTAACTAATAATCTCAGAGATGTATTGTTTTGTTAATTTATTTAAAAGTTATATAGTGTTGAGATTTTTAGAATATTTTTAATAAAGGTTTTACTCTACCAAAATTGTTTTTATGGGGTTACCAACATCGTGTCTTTTGTAAAAATGTTAAAAAAAATGAAAAAGTTTGGTCCGTTCAATTCATCTTTATCTACCATTTAATTTCCATATGTACATTTTAACATTTTATAAAAACCCGAAATGTACATGCAAAACGCGTAATATTAGACTATCTTACTGTATTGATTTCACTGAATACATCCAACGGAGCCGCATTCGAGACGGTCGGTTAAAAATAAAAAAAGTAAAAAAATAATACCATAATAGAATTTCCATTCCGACAATGAAGACGCAATAAAGCGAAGTTATGGAAGTAAAAAGAAAAGCTTCCTTTCGAATGGTTGAAAACAACTGGTTTTTGAATGGATAAAATATCAATTACATTTTTCAAAATTGTATAGTTTGCTTGGAGACTTAAATTTTTCCGTAAAATTGGTAATACATTGGACAAGTCGAATAATCATATTTTCAAAACAAGCTACGAAAAGTTACGAAACTTTAATTTTGTGTTATCATAACTAATGTAATTACTTTTTTAGTATAATTTGGTTTTTAATAGTTTTGTCAATTCTTATAGTTATTTTCGGGATCAACCTATACATATAGTAATTTAAATAAAGATCTCATCTACATATATTAGAGTGATCTATTTAAAACCTTTGCAGAGTGAAGCGCGACAATTTATAAGTCTATCCGATTTAGGAAAATGCAGAGGCGAGGAAGAATAAATTAAAAAACGATTTACGTATTTAAAGCAGCTTCCTCTGCAATGGCGACAGACTGTTCTCCGTACAAGCAAAGTTGCGAATTATGTATTTGCATAAAAAAAAAAAAAAAATATGATTTTTGTGTCTTGTTATATATAGGTTCAGAAGATTAAATAGATTAAAGAAGTATCAGAAAGAAGTAATAAATTTGAAAAATGAAAAACATTTCTCGTATCGGGAGCACGTATCTTGAACATTGAAATTGTTTATATTGGCTCGAAACGAAAAATTGATCTAACACGTGCTACGTTTAACGCGTTCTAATCGAATTAAAAACTTGTTCGTTATGTAACGAGGAAAAATTCTATGATGCAACGTATAAAACTCGGGAATGGCGCGAGTGAGCATCATGGCCGTGCTGAAGAACGCTCCATCGAGTAATCTTAAAAAGCGCACTTCACCATCCATTGTGTCCAGCTCCCGAAACCACTCCGCCGAACGCTGCTTTTTGAACGGCCATTGTAAAATCGCACGGTTGCGTTCAATTTGCTCGGTCCAGCTAACGGCGTATTGATTTTATGTTGTTTTCATCGCATCAAACCCGTACAGAATTGATGATTCGACCCGAATTCATTTTAAAGTGTACGATCACACAACATTGAATGGAAAATGTGCGGTTAAGAAGAATAAATTATAACACATATTTCGCAGAGATTAATATTTCATGTCATATCTTTATATTGATTAGTTTTCATTCAATAAAACCTACAGCCGCGATAAAAACAAAACACATACGTTCATAAATAATATAATTATAAAGATACATATAATTTTAAAGTTACTTAGATAATGTTCCAACAAAGCCTTGACATATAGATTTTCCATTCATCAATCACATTCCAGTACCGGTGGCTATCTGACTTTTTTTTATTAACAGCGCAATGGCAAAACTAAATGAAACTCTGTGTAATAAGAGAGATGGAGGTATTGCCTGATATTGCGGAGCCACGGTACAAGTCATCGACCGGCCTTGCTTATGCGGTGTCGCTACCGGCTCCTTGTGTTTCGTGATTTTTTATTATCAGACCCCGGCGATTTATGGTGATATGACCAGGCATTTAGTAATGATATTATGATGATTATTTTATATATTATTTTCTTTAAGAAAATTACCTCCCAGAATCAAACGCAAACTGTTAGTTACATATTTTTATTTGGTACTGTATTATTTTAGAGATAGGATGACCTAAATCTCGTTAATGTTGTGAGCCCTTAGAACGCTCGAATTTTATAAAAAGGTAATCGATATTTGAGCAGCCAGAGTTACATAACAAAGCACGAAAGCACGATAACAAAGCTGTCGTAGCTACCATTGTAATAAATTAAATAAAACCAGTTTTTTATAAACATTTGTATTCTTCAACAATTGTAACGCATAACACACGCGCGAACTGAAGAAAGGGACTTGCACGCACACAGCATCGGAAATAATTCATCCGCTGTCGCCAGAGCGTTCAGCCGGCGAGTCGCCAGCGGAGTTGTGCAAGGTCGCGATCCGGCTTTATTATTATTATTGCACAACCCGAGACAAATCTGGATACGCCATAATATGGACGCGCGTGCTCGTGCGTCATCGTGTATAATTTTAACTCGCGGAAGGACACCGTGTAATGTGCATTTACACAGTCCGAATCGCGCCAGCGTTTATTCGATGTGTCCCTCTCCACCACGACTGTATCTATAGTTTTCTTCGCGACCCGCGTTAGGAACACACGCTAATCAATTGTCCGATTCTCTAAACAATTATCACGCCTCCGAGTTCTTCGATTGGTCCGCCGCGCGTTACGGTGCGAGTGATGACTAGTTGTCTTTTCTAGTACCTGATAAAGTTCAACGAGATCAAGACGAAGAAGGGCATCGAGCTGCTACAGCACCTAGTCGAGTACTACCACGCGCAGACGAACTATTTCCAAGATGGCCTGAAGACGATCGAGCACTTTGGGGTGTACGTGGCGGACTTGAGCGTGCAATTGCAGAAGATAAGGCAGCAGCAAGACGACGAGCGGCGGAGGCTGCTTGAACTCAGGAACATGCTCCGGGCCGCTGCTCCACAGGATAGAGAGGTAGGTTTTTAACCTCCCATTTCTATATTCTATCGACAAATAGATTTCGTTACTGGAGATAGAATTTAAGATAAGAAGAAGAAAAGATTGACGTAAGTATTATGGAGCTAATGTCAAATACCAATTATGTCTAGACGGAGTATTGAAACCGTCACTAAGTCACTCCACAATTGAATTTCCGATTTCATTAAGGTCATGTTGACAAACGGAATAGCATGTCGTACCGTTCCAGTCTCGTTTAAAGTTACACAATAATTTCTATTTGTCTTGATTGCTTTTTACGAAGAGTCAAAATATTTTTGTGTTGCTTCAGATAGGTTAAGCAAAAACATAAGATGTTCGTAATAGTTGCTTTTTCGCGTAAAACTTGTCGATATTGTCTTGTAAGAATATTTGTAATAATCTGTTCATAATATTACTCATCGTCGAAAGTTACAGTCTATTTATTACACTTTCTTTCATACTTGGTTGCCAATATAGATTTATCATAAATGATTTTCTATTCTTCAAGAATCTTACGAATAAATATACGTTCAGCTACGCTAGTTAAAATCTGTAAATAGTGTTTGTTTCATGCACCAAAATAAAAAACAGCCAAGGTTATACAATTCTAAACTCTTACATCATAATTTTCATATCAAAAGCTCCAGGGCTAACGATAGTAATAATTAGTTGAATATTTATGCGGGTGGCGCTGTCGACAGTGTTTTACAATTATGTAAATAAATTTGATTGTAACAGTCTGTAGTCAGTGGAGTTATAGATGCCACAAAGAATTTCGACTACAACACCTAATTTGACGACGAATAATTATTTGATCATGATTTCTATTTGCTGTCAATGTGTTTTCGTTTTCTTTTAAACTTAAAATATCTATCTATGTAAAATCCTTTCCGACCTCGAAAGGGAACGCTTGGTACTACCACCGAGTTTAGTTGAAATAACCTAAAAATAATAAATATTTTTGGTAACCATCAGAAATTTATACTGTCAAAACTTTTCTATTCCATTATGAGGGCAATAAAAATCATTTATATTCGTTATAGTGGATTTCATTGTAATGTTATATCATTGAATAATTTGTAGTTATTAATCTCTGTGTGTGTACGCTTGGATACTTTGCTCTTTATGTTTCAGCGACTATTTTTTAATTTACCATACTTAGTTGCGCGTTTCGTTTGGGTGAATTATTGTAAATTGAAAGACTTGGAATAACGCTAAAAATTAAGTATAGCTTGTAAAATTGAGCACACTTTCGTATTTGTAAAATTATTAGCGATTAATATAAAGAACAATATTTATAGAGAGATATAGAAACTAACTCGCACTACCAATTAATCTTCTCCAAGGCATTTTGGGCTATTTAGGCATAATATGCAACATTTGTCTCCTGACTAATTCCTTAGTTCCGAGAATAGAGTTGCACTCCTTTTCGTTGACACGACATCGGCCTCTTCGACCCCCCGGTTTTGTATTCCATAGGAAACATACCAAATGCTTAATAATACACTATCGATTACATTATTATGTTTATCGATATCGATTACAAAAAATAATAACTGTTCTGTATTTAAAAGCCCCCTAAGCATTGTCGAATTAGTCGAAGCATAAAAATCATTGTAAATTAATGAACTGTAACGTACAATTTCTATAGGTATTTTGACTAATAAAGAAAATACACGTGGAACTACCTATAACTAATGCTTATAATCAAAAACACTAATCGAATATTTCTCTAATAGGTCCATTGCGTAACGTTCATGTGAATATGTATGTATTTTAATTTGCCTGATTACATACAGGAACATGTATTTTTTATCATTCGCACGCGATAATAACAATAGCGTTTCCATAATGTATTGGCTGTGGCTATTATCACTATGAATGTGTGGAACATACCTAGTGTATGTAATGTTGACATTAAGCAAAAATTTCGTTCCGTTCTTTTTATAAAACATTCAAAAGTCTGCGTAACCATTTTTTTTTTGTATAACAGCTAACATTTTTGTTTTACGAAGTCCACGGATATTGCAAGTCCAATTTCCTGCTTCCAGTAGCTGCTGGTTAATTTAGAATCAGTGTTACTATCTTCGGTATTAATACATTCGAAATTAAAGATTACTCCTCTCTCTACATTCTGATGGAAGACTCGCCGCAAAATATAAAATATGTATTTTTATAAGTTTCGCCACAACGAAAGCGAACTTATTACTTATTAGCACGACTCTCATCTTTCACGTAGTGAGCAACTTTACTTTTTGCAGACACTTTCAAATAATATTTTAAAATGAATGAATGAGTGGTGTTGCAATTGCTATTGAAATTTATTATTATTTTTTGTATATTTTCATAATTTACTTTGACATTATATGTACTCATAATGAAACTAAAATGTAAAGTTAATAATGTATTAAACTCACCTTTGAATATTGATTACGTACAATTATTTTTCATTTATTATTGAATATTTGTGATATACTATTGAATATTTATGATACTAAGATTGTGTGGTAATCAAGCAGTTTAGTCCGAGCTTACCACGTCGAGTGCATGTAAAGGCAAATGTAGATTCTCCAAATTTCCAGGACTATGGACTTATTCACGGCCTTATGAATAGGTTGTATTGTTTCAGGTTGCGTCAACATTAGGCGGATACTCGTTGCACCAGTTACAAGGCGACAAGCAGCACGGCGTGACCAGGAGCGGCTATTTGCTGAAGAAGTCCGAAGGGAAGGTGCGCCGTGTGTGGCAGAAGCGTCGGTGCCGGGTGGCAGCCGAGGGCTACCTGGACATATTCCACGCGGACGAGAACAAACCGCCCGCCAGGGTCAACCTGCTCACCTGCCAAATTAAAGTCGCCTCCGAAGACAAGAGGTCCTTCGATCTAGTCTCCTGTAAGTATGAACGGCGCCTTGTCTTGTTAACAAGGGTGACCTGTTACTTCACCCGTGATTAATTGCTTCGTAAATATGGACGGGAGATTTATCGCGTCCGAAAACTTTGAAATTGCTTTACTATTTTGTTAAATGTAGTTGTTGTAAATTTTCCTAGATGAAAATAGACAAGTGTACCAAAGTATCAGTACGGCGTTTTGCACTTTTTTAGGGTTCTTTTGTGTACGCCAAAGGGTAAAACGTGACGATATTACTAAGACTCCGCTGTCTGTCTGTCCATCTGTCATCAGATTGTATTTGATGAATCGTAATGATTAGACAGTTGAAATTTTCACAGATGTTGTATTTCTGTTGCCGATATAACAACAAATATTAAAAAACAATAAAAATACTTTAGTGGGGCTCCAATACAACAGACATGATCTTTTGTCGTTTTTGTAGATAAGGGTACGGAAACCTTCGTGCGCGCGTCCGACTCGCACTTAGCCGGTTTTATTGATTCTAAGTAGTGGTTATATAAATATTTGGAGTTGAGTGTCAAAGCCCCTAATGATTATCTGAATATCTTCTAATTATATCTCATCTATTCAAATCTATAAATGACGTGTAATTTGTTTAGTATTATTACTAATAATAGACACAGTATGAAGACACATTCAATAAATACCGATGTAACAATCATTAATTTGCAAGGATAAAAAATCGCTCACAATTGAAAGCATTCCGTCTTAGCCACCGTAGTTTAAAATATATCCGCACCTTGTCTCTTTGTCCAGACATATACCATGGTATGCATCAATATAAATGCCGTCTGACATTTGCCGCGCCGTATAATAGAACTTCGTTTATCAGAGTTGCAGTTAGAATGCTTGATGGATTAACAAACAGTAATATCTAATATTGGTGTTTGTCAGCTCAGCCATTCAATATCACATCACTTCACACAAACGTTGCAACGGAAATTTCTCGCTAATTCTACTTTAGCACATTATTAAATTGCGTTATTATTGTAATTCTAGTGAAGCATTTAATATCCAAAAGCTCACACAATGCTCTCACAGCGTATTCATAATTAATACGCAAATTAAGCGTTTTATGCCTCATAATTAGATTACTGAGAACGTATTCGTAATAAACTAAACACTACTACGCTGTGTTGTTATTCATTCGTTGGGCGAACTTCTCTAATAGATGAGTAAAAGTGATGGCCTGTCGCCTAGAACTATTTGTTTAAAAATATTTATTTACAGCGATGAGACTGTAACGTTTGGATACGTGCTAAGCTCGGTAAAATATGGTTAGTATTTGCTATCTCTCTTTATTCCGTAAGGGTTAAAGAAAATGAAAATCCAAAATAAGTCCACTCGCCATTTATACATCCAATTCACAATTTGCGGATACATTTTGGAAACTATTTCTCTTAGGTGGTACCGTGACATTCTTTGTCTGTACATATGGATGATTTTCCTGTGACTTATGTCATCCTAAGTGATTAGGGCTCGTATTGTAAAACGAGTAAGTCGGATTATCTCTGATTGGATCAGGATAAATGTATTGCAAAAAGTATATGATTTCACTAGTTTTTTAACCTGGGAACAAGCTATGTCATATATATTATTTGTCAATGACCCTCTAGTGTTAACGCCATATTCACCTTAAAACTTATGACGAAAACTAGTTAGTATTAAATTTATGTTTTTATTTTCATTAATGCAAAGAATAAAAATTAAAATCCAGGGCTGGCTTGACCGCGAAATTCTCGGCCCGACTCTATTACTAAGATTTCGCTGTCTGTCTGTCTGTCTCTCATCAGGCTGTATCTCATGAGTCGTGATGTTTATACAGTTGAAATTTTTACAGATGATGTATTTCTGTTGCCGCTATAACAACAAATACAATATAACAGACATGATTTTTGTCGTTTTTGTAGATAATAATGGTACGGAAACCGACATAAATTATTTTTTATATTGCGTTTCGCAGACGGACCTCACTGCTTTAAACATTGCCACAGCGTCTTCAACTCTCAATACCTAACTGCAAAGTTGCAGACACTTCTCTGGCCTTGGCAATGTCCACAAGTAGCCGTGTTCGCTCACCACAATTGTTAGGCAACTCAATAAAACAAACGTTAAAATCCCAGACAACCGCACGTACCACTTCCAAGCGGACGACGAGAGCGACCAGCGCGCTTGGACCTCCGTGCTGGTGAACTGCAAGGAGGGCGCTCTGCTGAGGGCGTTCCACCAGCAGGCAGGAGAGGGCGACGGCCACTCGCTGCTCGACCTGCAGCGGGCGATTATACGGGCCGTGCGCTCGATGCCCGGCAACCACGTGTGTGCGGACTGCGGCTCCTCAAACGGTAAGCTTGACCACCCCTGGACCATTATCTACAAAATTTGTATATACGAAAGAGTCTTTCTTGTCTTCTCATTCCATCCCTGGACGCTGTTCTACAGATATGTATCTTTCTATAATGGTCTTCTCACACCACGCCTGGACTCTGTTCTACAGATGTCTCTTTCTATAATGGTCTACTAACAGCACCCGTGGACTCCGTTCTACAGATATGACTCTTTTTGTAATGCTCTTGTCACACCATCCCTGGACGCTGTTCTACAGATATGACTTTGCATTGATGTTGATTGATGAGATATGATTTTGATTATGACATTGTTGAGATATGATGTTGCATTTTTGGAGGTGCATTTTATTATCAAGCGCTTTATTGGTGATCCGATTAGCTTTATTATTATTTTTTATATGCTGTCCTAAAACTGGCAAACCACCCATGCAATCTAATCTATCTATAATCTTAGTCTTATAATAACGTGTAAAATTTTATTACGGCAACTTACTTACGTTTCCTTTCCACTTCGCAGACCCCACATGGCTTTCCACCAACTTCGGAATAATAGTCTGCATAGAATGCTCGGGAAGCCATAGGGAGCTGGGCGTGCATATATCGCGAATTCAGTCCCTTACGTTGGACAGGCTGAGCACTTCACAGTTGCTGCTGGCCCGACACATGGGCAACCAGCTCTTCAACGAGGTCATGGAGAACACTCTGGATGAGCGGGACAAACTCACTCCTGAGAGCACCATGTAAGATAGCGTTATTGAATCTAAACAAATGAATAAAATTGAACCGAGGCTAACTTTTTTAGAGGTTGGCAACACATGCGCTACCGCTCAAGTCTTGTAGATGTCCACGAAAAGAGTGTTTGTATTGCCTGTGACAATGACACCTTTTTACTAATTGAAAAGAACCAATTATGATTATTTTCGTCTGTTTATTCTGCGATTTTAACTTATTGTTTTTATACAGAGAGATAGAGACGTGTGTGACTCCACAACATAATTAAGTCACATAACACAAAACAGCCGTTACTCGGAGTTTAGCCGATTGTTTCGCCGAGACTCGAGCGCCTTTTACCGGTGCAGGGAGGAGCGTCTGCGGTTCATCCGCGAGAAGTACGTGTACCGCGCCTGGGCGGCGCGCACTTGCCGCGACGAGGCAGAGCGCCTCTCCGAGGTGGAGCACGCCGTCAACAACGCGCACCTGCAGAACCTGCTGCAGGCCTACGCGGAGGGCGCCGACCTCGCCGCCCAGCTGCCGTGCTCCGTAAGTCTACGCTCTGGAGCCGCCTACGAAAGGGCTACGGCGTAGTATATACGTAGCAAACTCGCGCCAGATATCACTTCATTGTATTGTTGTTCACGAGAACAGGAGTGCTTTAATCTTAACAAGAAGACAAATCTCGTGATAAGTACATTTTATTATGATAAAAATTGTGGCTGTCTGTTCGATACGTCTGCTGCAAGTCTTCTATAAAGGTCTATCCAATCCTAAGACTTCAGGGACAGATAAATAATGCTATCCACGTCTGATAGAACTACCATAATCGTGAGTTATGTGATTATCCGAGAGGGGGAAAAGTGACCGCATTTTATTGGATTTTAAATCCGTGACCCACGCTTGATGTTAAGTGATAACCGCTACCCATGGACGTTTGCAACACTCGTAGGGTTGCAGATGCGTTGCCACCTTTTAATAAAGTTGACCCCGGCTGCCTCACCCACGAGATGTAACGTAGAAATATCAAACTTCTACTTCACACCTTTCTTATGTGAGGTCTTGGTACTCCTCCGGACGGACCTGCCCATTCGTGCTACAGCGAAGATGGTTGCGTCGCCCTACTACATTTATATATTATGTTACTAAAAGCAAATCCATTCAATGGCAATGGTAAGTCAACTAAAATCTAAGAGTTTCACCAGAGTGAACACCAAGAAAAAAATTACTTTGCCGTCAAAAAAAAGACCGACTATTTACTAGCTTTTAACTAGCTAACCATCGCTCCAGGACTGCGGCGAGACGGCACTCCACCTGGCGATATCGCGCGAGCTCGGCGACGGCTCGTGCCTGCACATCGTCGACTTCCTCGTGCAGAACGGCGGGCCGCAGCTGCTCGACCGCACCACCGCGTCGGGCATGAGCGCGCTGCACCTCTGCGCGATGTTCGACCGCACGGAGCCGATGAAGCTGCTGCTCAAGGCGGGCGCCGACGCGGCCATCAGGGACGCCGGCGGCCGCACCGCGCTCGCGCTCGCCCGCCAGCTGGGGCACCGCGCCTGCCAGGAGCTGGTGAGCCGCGCCCTTTAATACCACTTCGACTCTTTTTTTACGTGGGCCGAATGCCTGTCCTCGTGTGTCCCAACAACGCCTGCCAGGAGCTGGTGAGCTGGTGAGATTCATTTTTTTTTTAACTGGAGAAATGTCGCATAAACATCCTCGCGTGTCGTAACAATGCCTGACAGCAGCTGGTGAGCCGCGTCCTGTAATACGATATCGACCCTTTTGTTTGCGTGGGGGGAAATGCCTGAGCACACCCGCCCTCGCGGGGGCAAGGGTTGATTATGTCGTTCTCGCACCGATTAAAACCCCCACGATGTTCCACCCAGGGTGTGCATATTGACAGGGTCACGAGAACGCTTTCGCATACTTCCAAGACCCTGCCAGTAAACCATATCGATCGTGCTCCTTGTCCTCCTCTCTTCTGTGTTTTTGGTTGATTTTACTTTTCGCATTCCATTTGTATAGAGCTTCCGCTCTGTATAGATCGGTTTTGGTGCTCAATTTTAATTCAATGTAAAAAATTGTTAATTTTATGTACTGACTCATCACGTGCACAGCGGTGAAGAAAAACATCCACCCCTCTTGTTACACTCTGTATAGTCCTTTATTTTTGAAACTCGTATTCGAATTTCACTTTCATTTATATAAATTTTGATAAATTAATCTGAAATCGAATCGACCCAATAATACTCTAAAACTAACTCTAAGTTAAGATATTGGGAAAATAAAACAATGGATTACTCTATCATTTGTTTCCTAAACTTTACCCCAAATTAAAATAACTGAAGTCGAAAAAGTGGTATAGGATGTTAAAATTCTTATAACAAAGTAAGGCATTTATTTGAAAACCCTCTAATAGGATAACCCCTGCCTTAACGGCTAATTGAGCTTTGTTAAGACTTAAGTCTGCTAGAACAAGCAATAAGGATTACCAACGCACTTTACAAACTTAAAACTTCGGAATATTTACTTAAGCCTCTTGTGAATTTGTGATACATTTGTTTTTGCTTAATTTAATTATATTTTCTTTTTCCTCTTTTATATCTTATTCAATATAAACTACCTAGTAATATTATTCTCTGTTTGCGTACTTTTATTCAAAAAGTCACGATACTTTCAGTTTAGATTGCACCCCATATTAATTTCTATAATCATTATCATTATTTCTGCGAATTTAAATCCACTGCTGAAACATTTATTATTTTGTTTATCCGAGCTGAACTCGCCTGGAATCTGCGTCGATGTTAGAGACCTACCTAACTGGAATAACTGTCGTCGGTTAACATACTCGTCAACATTCGACCACAGTGCTCCCAACAGCAACCGACATAGACGTAACATGGACATTAGGACATAATCTTCGTCTTGTAGACGTTCATCTTAAGGTCTCCCAACGGCCCAACCGTACACCGTACCAAAGTCCTTCAGCGATTCTACCACGATAGCTATGTCGTCGGCAAATCGTAGATGGGTGTCGTATTCGCCATTAATATATATATTTTAGGGCACATTTTTACACAACATTTTCTAGTCCCAAACTAAGCAACGCTTGTACTATGGGTACTAGAAAACTGATAAACATACTTAAACATACTTTTCTTTTGTAAACAAATACATATTATAGATATATAAACACCCAGACACTAGAAAAACAATATGTTCATCACACAATATTTTTCCAGTAGTGGGGATCGAACCCACACCCTCTGGCGCAGGAGGCAGGTACACTAACCACTACCCCATTCAGGTCGTCGATACTTCTCCTTTTCAGTCTCGAAACTTGAAAACATCTTCCAATGCAGTGGTGAAGAGTTTCAGGATATGACATGACCCTGTCTTACACCCTTCTGCAGTTGGATAGATTTTGTACTACTGGGCTGTCCTCGATTACAATACAAATAACAAACAATATTCCTTTAATACAGTTTAATAACATTTTTGTTATTCATTATAAATTCGATAAAATATCCGTTTTCATTTCAGTTGGAGAGTGTCGACAAGAGGGAGAAGAGTATTTTCGAAAACATCAACATCGATTGGAACTTGTCCCATGACGATGGATCCACGGACTTCTCGGATGACGACACAGTGATTGATGAGAGAGTGAGTGCTATTATCATCATGCACATCTTCCACAGTATCATTTAAATACTTTTTTTATTATAGCTACACAAAATCCATACATAGTTGAATTTACGACGATACGCTATTTTAAAATTTTATCGTACGGTAATACCATTTAATTTTTTTTATTGAATATACTTATAGTACCTAAACAATTTTTACTGTGGAAAATTAATTAAAGTTCTAAATATAAGAAATTAAAAATATTTGCATATATGAATAAAAATTGAAAAAACTAAGTATTAACACAGAAATTTGTATAGCTATATTGTTGGTATGACCATCGTCTTTCCGTCCGTCTTTCCGTCCGAATACAACGTTGGCGTCTTCAAGGCAAGAGTGAATAGGTTTCTATGAGCTAGGGCGCTTACCATCAACGGCTGCATCGCCACTTACCATCAGGTGGGATGGCAGTCAAGTGATAGCCAGTTTTTGAATAAAAAAAAAGGCTTGATTGACAATTTATATGTAAATCAAGCATGGTCATACCGAGTATGTCTAATTTATTCTATTTCTTCATTTCATCGTAACCTTATCGGTCACTAGCGATTTAAAGTCGATAGCTCTTAAGTCAGCTTGAACTTCGTCCAAATCACAGTACATAGTTCCTTACGTTAACGCGACAATGAAGTTCACGTTTTATGTATTCGATTTAATAAAAAATATATTATGTAATACATATATTATGTATTTGTTTCATATTAGATACTGTCAAAGCTGAATTCATCTTGGTACAGATATCTAATAGAGAGTTTTCCTTTAATCAAATCGAGTATGACTTCGAGTAGAATCCAAGCCGACGGCAGTTGATTGACCTTTGCAGCAGAACGGTAGTGTCACACCGGAGAAGAAGTGCCCGCGCTCGCGGCCGCCGTCCTACGCGGGCGGCGCTTGCGGGGGAGGGGGTGCGGCGGGGGGCGCGGGCGGCGGAGGGGGAGGGGGCGACTCGCCCGTGCTCCGCTCGCGCTCGTCCACGTGCGACTCGCTTCACCACGCCCCACCAACGCCCACCACGCTGCCCAGGAAGCCCAACGTGTGTGAGTGCGCATTTTCTATACATCGTACGTGCATTAACTATAGTGTGTGTGTGTGTGTGTGACACGCTCACTAAGACGATACATAATAGAACATTATTGCGCGAGTTACTTTCGATGTGCACGTGGGACGCAAAGAAAGGCTCGATGGAACTTTTTGGGAAATTTATTTGATTGAGACGATTATTTGCAATTTTCTATGTCTACCAGAGGTTAAGTTTGTCTTGATTCTAGTACATTCACAAACAAGCAAAAGTGCCGTTTGGCAATGGCTGTAACAAATGGTAAATGGTAAATAGCATCTATTTGTAGAATACACAATGTATGAACACACAAAACTACGTATTTATCGCGGTATGATGTCTGTAATGTAATATTTTCAAAATCAATTCCAGATAATATCGGCAGCCTGAAGAAGCGTGCTGCACCATTACCACCGGCCGTGGCGTTGTCGCACCCACCGCCGCATCCACGGTCCACACCATCGCCTTCTGCAGACAGCACTCGATCTATACATGGTAATTATATGATTAATTAACTGATGATTCGGCGGCGCAGTTGTTAAGCCATTGGATTCGTTGCGGGAGGTCGTGGGTTCGATTCCACACGGGACAAGTAGTGGTGTGACCCACAGATAATTGTTCCGGATCGGGGTGTTTGTTTCTAAAAGGTTGACGTCAGGCAAGTGGTCGGTCGTAAAAAACTTTGCCGCTACCATTAACAACAACTGATGATTCACATGTTGTGCAGACCTCACCTAGTTAGGGAGTCACCTAGGAGAAAGAAGCTATATGTTTTAATAACGAAAAAAAACTACACTCTATCTCGCTCCCGCTATACATTGCTATTTAGTCGCGAACAACGTTGTTATTCGGTTTTGTGAATGTAGAGACTTCCTTCAATATGAGATAGAACCATCAGGCTGCTTTTGTGCTCGACGGTACTTGCGGCGTACAACGGATATCGAATATACACAGTTCCTTTGACTGCATGATGTGATGCACTGAACTGTGATAGGTCAGTGTCCGGGCGCTCGCTTTTAATTCAATATACTCGAGCGACGTGCGTTCAAATGCCGGTGCCGGCACCGATGAAATTGTTAATTTTAAGTGCTGACTTATCACGTGCTCAGGCGTGAAAGCTGCATATTTTGAAATAACAAGATAAAAAATATTTCGAAGACATGTGTGAAGTCCGCCAATCTCCAATGGGGTCGCGTGGTGGTCTTTACTCCCCTGTGTGGTGTATATCCCCTCCACAGAGGAGGCCCAGCAGTGGGATATGTATGGGCTGTTCCTTTGTTTTATGCGAAGTCTGCCAATCCGCAGTGGAGTCACGTGATCGACTATGCGCTAACACCCTCTGCACAGGGAAGGCCTTTGCCCAGCAGTGGGACATGTACTTTTACTTTTTTGTGCGCAGCCGGCGGCGTGGTGAAGCACCGGCCCCAGCAGCCACCCCCCCCCCCGCCCCCCGCCACGATGCACAACGGCGCCCACCACCGCGACGAGCCGACGCCGCCGCCCAGAAAGGTGATTTATATTTAAAAAGAACAGACTACAAAGTTTCTTTTCTCTATGCATACGGAAGGAAGCGCAAAATTGAAAATGTGACAAGAAAACAAGTTTACAGGCCACTTAACAGCGCGATTGGGATTCTTATTAATTACCACTACACGCCTAGCGTATTTAAAAAAATCGTTATTACAAAAATGGGCTCCGTGTTAATAGTCTGTTAATGTAATGTACGCAACGCAACAAAACACCTCTTATTCGGACTTAACTTATATTATTTGAATGATATTACAGTTCCAGGCATCAATCTTAGCTTCCTGATATAATAAATTTGAAGATACTCATATTTAAAAAAAAACTTTCTTTAACTGCAAAGTTTTCTGTACAAAATACAGCCTCCTTACAGTTGGATAATATTAATAACACATAAATTAAACCCTATTATGTATGTAGTGTTTTGCCCAGAATATAATTTCTTATGGGATTTATATACATGTAAAGCTTTAATATTAATTAATTAAGTCTTATGTAACATGAATAGATCCTTTAATTGATCATTAACTTTTATAGGCCACTAACTAAAGACCAGGCAGTAATGTACGTCCTAATCAATTTTGTATCAATATCGATAAAATCATTGTATAAAGCAATAATTTAACAAATAAAGTACCTAAAAATTGCAAAGGGTTTCGTATGACACTTAAAAAGTTCTCTGTGCTACTGTAACGCGACTAAAATCGAGAAACATTGAGTACAGGATTGTATTTGTTTTTGCTTCAGAAGAAAAATAGATTGCACCTGGAAAAGGCTGTCAATGCGAAACTGAAAAGGGTAACGAATGTCTGAAGAGCTTTAGTTATTCTTACTAGCTTACCCTGATTGTATTTGAGTCCCACTTTTTCGTTGTTTTGTTTTTTTCGTTTTAATACAATATTGTCAAGGGAATTTGTAATTTAAAAAGTAATTGTTACTTGTGCACGTTTGTTATTGAACTTACGAATCATTGGCCGTGTATAAGACTCTCTTGACAATGCGTTCCTACTTTTACATAAAATATGCACACCGTAAACTATTTGTGCATAGTTTATGAACAGGCGTAGTCTGCATGTATTTACAATAATCGCTTCGGCTTTTATTTTGAAACTAATCCATACAAATTAGACGATTTATTGCCCTAAGAATTATCCACGGAGTGAAGTAAGGAACACACGATTTTTGTACTTAGCTTCCTAGTTGTAGAGATATTTAAATCTTTAAGTAAATATTATACAAGACTCGGGAATATTAGTTCGAAATTACACGATTTAGTAACAATAAAATTAACATTAACACTGATGTTTTTTTTACTAATGTCACAGAGTGAACTGCATGACTTTGAAGTGAGTTTATACACGTCATAATAATCCCCCTATAAATATGATCATAAAACGTTTCCCGCTTAATTAAATAGAATTAGATGAGCTGTTGTTCTTCATCACTTTTAATCAACGATAGAATCTATGATAGAATTTTTAGTTGTTTTATTTCCCCGTTAATTACCCACCGAGTCCTTATAGCTTTTTCGTAGGCGGAGCTTTACGAACAATGATTATTTATTCACTACCAAGCCGAGTCCCCTCGAGCTTGCTTTGAATAATGCGTCGCCATGGAGCGTTGGACGTGAAACATCTAAATTTAAATTAATATTAATAATTGTTTGTTTAATGACTAGATTTTAAACGATGCAAGTATTGAAAGTGTACACCCATGTTAATTTCTTGCGATTAATTTAATTAGGCGATTACACATTACTAAAATGAAACTAACTTGCTTCGAAACGTCGGGAAATAAATTTAAAAAATAAACGCGACGTTCCAATCGTACAATACCAATAATTCAATTTCGCAATACCGTAATCCGCTTACGGAGAGCCGGCGTACCTATAGCAATTGACCTTGGGCCTTGCCACGATTCGAATTGGGGCGCAACGCTGATCGGGGTCAACGACCGCCGCAGGAGTGTTCTAGCCAAGAGTCCTCGCTGGAGCTGTGCGACGTGTCGGACGCGTGCCTCGACGACAGCCGCGTGCAGTCGTCGCCCTCGTGCGAGGGCGCGCGCTCGCGGGACCGCTCGCGCCACAGCCACAGCGACAGCCGCTCGCTCGACGTCTCCGACGCGTCGAGCGTGCACTCGCGCTCGCCGTCCGCCTCCGTCACTATGGTACCGGTGCCGCTTTTTTGAAAATGGAACTTTATATATATATTTTTTTTTTTTTAGTGAAAAACATTGCCCTCACTTTAGGATTGCATCATTGCTGTGTTGTATGGACGTTTTACAAACATAAATAGCACGAGGACAAACATCCAGATGCGAAACTATCCGTGGGTCGCACAAATAGTTGTCCCGTGTGGGAATCGAACCCACGACCCCCGACGCCGAAGCCTCGTAATTTACGAATCGTTCCGGATCTGTTTGAATGCCCTAGTTTTCTCTGTTTATAGAGCGTCTCTATAACAAAGCAGCTCTCTATTATCCTACAATAAAGGTAATATTTAAAAAAAAAGGGAACAATAAAAAACAAGGATATGGTACAATGTCACATGAACTAATATAATTCTTACAAGAAGTACAGTATTTTGTTACTGTTCCTAACTATCATTGCCATTGTCTCGCATATCTCTTACCTCGCCGTGTATTCTCCTTTATATTCAGATGAGCGGCAGCATGAGACGATGTCGGGCCCTGTACGACTGTTCGGCCGACAACGAAGACGAGCTCTCGTTCCGCGAAGGCGAGGTCATCGTCGTCATCAACGAGCGCACTGAGGACGACAACTGGATGGAGGGCCAAGTAGAGGGCACGAACAGACGCGGCATGTTCCCCGTCTCCTTCGTCCACATGCTACCGGACTAGGGTGCGAGCGAGACAGCGGTTTACCTAGCGCACAATTGTGGCCAGTAAGTGTTCATAGAACTCCCATCGGTCGTCTTATCTCGCTGGCCCTCATCGCAGACGAGCGCATTTGAAATCACTAGCAAAGGTTTCCTATCGCGAAAACATTTCTCCTTCGTAGTCTCTGCGGTAAAGATAAGTATTGTAAAGTTCCAAAGAAAGCACTGCACTGTCTCTATTTCGTATTGAACCATTTTTACTTATACTCTATCCGGCTGTAACGGTTCGTAGCTGAAACTGTTAAAGCTGTACGCCATTATGCATGCATTGAACGAGAGGAATTATATAATAATTTTATAGAGCAATCTTGGCCTAAAGCTTTCGGAATTCTTTTTGAATTTTATGAGCTTATTTACTCTAGCGTTTGTGCCACTCGACCGTATACAGACATGGTTATTGAACAAACTGGTTCAGTTGTGTATACAATATTGTTACAATTGTTAATGTTGTCAGAATTACAGCGCCCACGCGGTTAATGTTCAAACGTTGGCAATAAATACACCAAACGTCAATAGCACAAGTTTTCAATGATTGTTTTTATACAAGGATTTTAATACTCATCAAATTTTAACCATGCCAATTTTTGGAGTGTATGTTTTCTTGTTGACTAATGTTGAAATCGAGCTTCGTGCTTTCGCAACAGTCACAAATCGATTTTTAAGATTAACGGCTCTAGCGTTACTCGTAATGACACCAATATCATAAGTTTTTGCCAATGGATAGTCCGTCCCTTTGCGGGTTTCTATTCGGGGTTTATTGATTTAATATTTCTATAGTTTTGATATCTATTTCATTCTGATGCGCACGCTGTATTTTCTTAAACAAAGAAACTGTAGAGTGAAAAAAATGTGACCATATAATCGTCCCGTTAGTGGGGAATATAATTGTGTTTGTCGAAGGCAAACTTCTCGTCTGGCTCAATGAAAATTAAGATTTTAGTGAACAATTTAAACGAATACGTATTATATTTAGATCGGAATAAAGTTTGTTTGAATTAATTTATATTCGCGATCTGATGTTGCGTGGCAAGGTACGACTTTGTGAAGCTCATTTGATTTGCCAAAAAGAATATATATGTGATCTGTAGTGGGAAATATAATTATATCCGCAAACTATCGGACCAGTGACCGCTTGTTGTCTCGTTGTTCTCGTAGTTGATATTGAGGTGTCTTAGATTGTTGGTACATTGGAGATTTTGTTCCTCGAGGAATGCGTTGGACCACGCATTGGTCTGCTGTGATGCTTTTCATATGATGAACGTTTCTCAGTCGCGGCTGATGAATGGCGGTGCCCTATGAAACGGCTGTAACCGGAGATCAGTCTCTAGTTTTTTGTAACATGGACCAAAGATATTCGTATTGTATGTAATTATCCTCAAATGAAAGTCTGCGGCTTTATATTATATTTATTTATAGAGCAGTCTTAGCTGTAAAGTTATGCGTGGTCCAAGGTTGCTTCTCAATGGATAACGTTTGAATTCTTGTTATTAATGTTAAATTTTATCAATTTCCACATTTTAAATAGTAGAAGTAACATTCTCGTATGCAATATATTTAGCGGTAGCAATAGCGTTGGAGTCAGTAGAGTGGATATGTCATTTCCTCTAATGAATAAAAGTATTGTAACAGTTACAAATAGTTGAGTATAATGTGATTCATATTACTACATATATAACATTCCCTAACATGTAATTGAGTTTTGTGTATATTAAGATTCCTTTGTATTCATAGGTTTTAAGTGATGCCTACATATTATAGAGTTACCCATTTTAACGCGCGCGTTGCCATAACTTAGTATTAACTGAGAATGAATGAACACAAAAGTTATTTAAAGCTTTCTGTTAAAATAGACCATTAGTATTTTATTCCTATTTCCAATGTTTTAATTACAAAAATAACACAATAATATCATCATATAATTATGTGTCAACTATTAGGGTTATGTTATCTTGTAAATAAATAAATATATCCTTGTTTGTAAATCCTTAACTTATTTCGATTAATAGAAACCCTATACTTTCTGTTATTTAATTTACATATTGAATCATAATAATTGTATTTATTTAATAATTTAAAGTACGATGCAAACACAATTGTGATGTAAACATTTTAATGCCATTTTAGCCTGTCAGTATGTCATTTATTAAGAAATTATTTAACCAAATGATGCTATAGAGGTTAAGATGTTTTATTCTGTATTGTAGTATATTGAAAGTGGAGCTGTAGTTGAAATAATTTTTTCTATTGTGTATTATTTGAATGAAAATCTGTATGAATTTATTAAAACATCATTTCGATGTCTATTTGGAGTTTGTTTATTAAAATACCAAGTAGAAGCAAAATATCGTGTTCTTTATGGTCTAAGATCCGGCTGCAGAATTGGTGCACTCATCGAGTATTTTCTACGAGAATATATACCTACCGGGTGGCCTATCAAAATGTGGCCGCTCATGTTTTTAATTATATTATTGTTAATTAATTTTTCGGAAAAAAAAATAATTAATTTGTTTTTTAAGTAAAATATCGTTCACTTCACGGTTCAAATCACGGTTGCCGTTGCGCAATTGGCCCCACCTCTTCAGCCAAGTGTAAACAGGTATGATTTAGATACATTTATACGTTGACAGCGTACATCTATTATCTCTCTCTCTCTCTCTCTCTATACAAAAAAGAAAGTCGTGTTAGTTACACTATTTATAACTCAAGAACGGCTGAACCGATTTGGCTGAAAATTGGTAGGGAGGTAGCTAAGAACTAGGAGAAGGCCATAGGATATAGACTTTTTATCCCATTACCGTCGTTCCCGTGGGACGTGACATAAAACGTGGTATAACAAAACGCAACACATGGTATAACAAAACAACTCAGTCAAAATATAAGTCAGCAGTTAATTTGTAAAAATGGTATAACAAAACGCAACTGACAGCTGAACATATTTTTAAAAAAATTTTGACCGGTTGATGCATTTCTTTAAATTATTATGTTGCTGTTCCGATTATTATTATTAATAATAACGGAACAGCAACATGCCGCGAACAAGACGATCAAATCTTTTTTAACAAAGCCGTAATGCAAGAGTGTTTCGAAATATTGCTAATGAAAGGACCGAAGAAGAGCAAGAAATTGGACGTGAAGAGCGCCGCGTTAGTATGGCTCGACTTCGTGCTTCTCACTCACAAGAGCAAAGGGAGACAACCCGTGAAACGGCTCGGTTGGCAATGCGAAATCGTCGAGCGAACCTCAGAGATCAACAAGATAATTTACGAAGCACAAGAAGAAATTCATCAAATACTGATTTGAATCGGGCAGCATTTCGATACGATTGCAGCACTGATTACTGCTTACATACTAGCGTTCGCATTGGGCCAATGGACGTTGTTAGCCAGTATTGTGGCGAATTAAATTTTTCCAGGGAACCGCCAGGATTGTGCTGCCTTAATGAAGGCAATTGATGATGGAAACGGTGGTTTATATTTCCTGGATGCCCCTGGTGGAACTGGTAAGACATTCCTCATGTCAGTAGTTTTAGCCACTGTTCGTGCAAGATCCAACATTGCGGTTGCAGATGCTTCTTCTGGAATAGCAGCCACATTGCTAGAAGGATGATTCAATCTACTGAAGAACCAACATGCAACATTACAAAGCGCTCCGCAATGGCCAAAGTTTTATCCGAATCGAAGATCATCATCTGGGACGAATGCACAATGGCGCATAAACGTGCATTGGAAGCACTTAACCGAACATTGCAAGATCTACGTGACTCGAGATGTTTTGGAGGCGCAATGATTTTGCTATCTGGCGATTTCCGCCAAACATTGCCAGTAATTCCCAGATCGACTGCTGCCGCCGAAATAAAAGCTTGCCTCAAATCATCGAATCTATGGCGCTATGTTAAGAAAATTCAGCTCACAACGAACATTGCATTGCTGAACGATACATCTGCTGAAGATTTCTCTGAGCAATTGCTGACTATCGGTAACGGTCGAGTACCTGTCGACGAATCGAGCGCATTGATTTCATTTCCTCCGAATTTCTGTAACTTTGTCTCATAGAAAGACGAACTCATCAACAAAGTATTTCTATACATCATTATTAACCACAAAAATATTGAATGGTTGTGTGAGCGAGCAATTTTGGCGGCTAAGAATAAAGATGTAGATGACTTAAACTACATAATTCAGAATGAGATCATTGGCACACTGCAGTCTTTCAAATCTATTCACTGTGTGACAAATGAAGATGATGCCACCAACTATCCAATTGAGTTTTAAAACTCCTTGGATGTGCCTGGCTTACCACCGCACAATTTACGACTAAAGATTGGTTCCGTATAGTAATCATGCTTCGAAACTTAAACCAACCAAAACTGTGCAACGGAACACGTTTGGTGGTAAGTAAATTAATGAACAATTTGATTTACGCCACAATACTTAAAGGAAAATTCAAAGGTGAGGAAGTTCTCATTCCGAGGATCCCGATGATCCCAACCGACATGCCATTTGAGTTTAAACGACTTCAATTGCCGATCCGTCTTGTATTCGCCATGACTGTAAATAAATCACAAGGCCAATCCTTGAAAGTTTGTGGTCTTAATTTAGAACATCCATGTTTTTACCATGGTCAATTATATGTGGCATGTTCACGGGTCGGAAGACCTGCGTTATTTGTTTTCGCGCCTGATAAAAAAAAACGAAAAATGTCGTTTATCATAAGGTGTTACACTGAAAAGGGCAACCCATGCAAAAAAAATAAATGGCAAATAAAGAATCACTTTTTTTATTTACAATTATCCTAATTTAAAAAGTAAAAATTGTGATCATTTGTTGCCTATAGGGCGGAACAAAGTTCGCCTGGTCAACTAGTTTATAATATTTCAACTAAAAGCTTTTTTTTTGTTTATTATGATAAACGGTTGCATTAAATCTTAAAAATAAGGGTTGCTGGCTGTTCAAGATGGTAAATATTTAAGGTAGCTAATTATTTAAGAGGATTCCGATATTTGTAGCGATGAAGTGCATAGCAGCGTTAGAAGTGTGAAGATTTGGGATTTTTGTTTATTCAAATGTTCACAAAATTCCATGTTGACATCCCCATCCGTGAAGCGAACTGTCAATGTCATGCAATCATAATATGGCGGCGTTAGTTCGCATTTCTACCACATGCCACTGCCAACTTATATTAATTTATAATTATTACCAGTAACAAAAAAGTAACTAGCAATATTTTACTTACCCTGAAAGCCATCAGGTATTATTAATCGTATTTTTATTTGAATGGATTCAAAATTCTATTACAGGATAAAAATAGTTATTGCACGATAAAGAAATATTTTACTCATATTTGTATTATATTATAAAATGAAGAAAATATTGAAATTGTCCTATTAGGAGTGACATCTGTTGCAGTGCAAGTTGCACTTACTAATTTAATTTAAGATTTTAGATGCAACATTTAGATGGAGCAATTCTGTTTTGCTAAATGTCAAATGTTTAGATGACTTCAATCATTAGAATAGACATTATCTGTGAGGTACACTTCAGAGTTCAGATTCAGATGTACTTTTGTATCACAGAGTACTTTTATAGGGAAATAGAGGCTTAACTCAGTGGTTTTCTGGGTAACTATTACAGCTAGCGCCATCTGTATTTACAAGTTGTAAAAAAATATTAGATCAGCTGACCTTGACCTTGATTAGTATTTTTTTTATTTATTTATATTTTTCGAAGCAAATTAAGAATTTAATTAAAGAAGATACTAAGAAATAATTTAAATGAAACTCGGAATATATATAAACTTCTTTATTGATACTGTAAACATATTTCGAAACTTTATAATTCGATTGCTACTTTACAAAGTTACTATGAACACTTTTGTCGCAATGGTTTCATCTTTTCTTAAATCGCGCGACAAGCTCTATATAACATTTTGGTACTTATAAAGTTTAATAATTTATTTACAAACATTAACTTAAAATTATTTAAAATAATACAAAACTTAACCTAAATTAAAACCTATTCAAAGCTTCCAGCTAAAAGCTACCAGCCCCTCGGTCCTAACTCTAATGCTTAGATTAGCTTGGATGAAATTTTTTCCACCAAACCCTGAGGACACAGCTTGTTTTTAAAATTATCTTTTTTTATGATAACCCTTATGATAACCGATCCAACAAGTTCACACTCTCATCATTTCTAGCTCCATCATCAGATCATGTTGGCAATTATGTAAGATCAAACGTTTCATTAAGAACAATTCAATAAATCAATAATAAAAATATATATACCTACAAAAACTAACAAACTAAGCTAGGTATAATACAGCTACCGTCATTATTACTATCTCCCTCATCAGATCATACAAATATGTACAAAGGTTTTATTTTATTTGTATTAAGAATTAAGCTGAGCAAATATAAAAATTTTATATGTTTTATTTATGAGTAAAAATATTTTAATAATAAAAAATAGTTATTTTAACAAACCAAAAAGTTCTTAAAGCCCTGGACAACCTGCCAAATTCGGGTAAAATACTCACAATGTTGCAGTTTCGTGAAAACAAAAAGAAGAACAAAGGAAGACGATTTACATACAGTGAAAAAATTATTGCCTTGTCCTTATTAAAACGAAGTCCGAAAGATACGGCCTATTTAGAAATATTTTATACTTCCGGCCCCTCAAACCTTGATTAAACTAATTAACAACGCAAATATTCAACCTGGAGTAAACCCTATATTTTCTCAATTAAAACAGCAAGTACAGATAATGAAGGCGAGGGAAAAATTATGTATTCTGTTATTTGACGAAATGGTTTTGAAAGCAAATTTAACATATAATGAAAGAACGGATAAAGTTATTGGGTTCGTAAATAATGGTTTCGATACACATGAACAGTTTGCAGATCATGCACAAGTTTTTATGGTAAGAGGCTTATTAAAAATTACAAGCAGCTAGTCGGTACATTTTCGGCGTCAGCCACAAAGGGGCCGGAATTAGCTAAACTAATCAAGATATTTATCCGGGAATTAACAAAGGCTGCATTAACTGTTGTTGCAACAGTTTGTGATCAAGGCTCAGGAAATAGAAACGCCATTAAGTGCTTGACGGAAGAATCGCGAGTTGACTTTCTCAGAAGAGGAGAGGAGCCCAAGCAAGGTTTAATTTTAATAGACAATTTAAAAATTGTGCCCATTTTTGATCCACCCCATCTAATTAAATGTGTGCGAAATAATTGTTTTGTATTTCTTATCTATGCTTATGACAGCTGGCTTTTGGAATGTATGACTATGATTATGAATCAAAATAATTAATTTCTAAAAAGTAGATTTAATACTACTTTTTTATTGCTTAAATGATTTTCCTTTTTATAAAATTCGGATAAAATCAAAATATTTATAGATGCATTAAATATATATATACCTATATAAGCTATAATGAATAGTCTAAGATATGGAACATATCGCATTTTTGTTTCTGTTAATAAACGTTATCATAAATGTTTATAGATAAATCGCCTTCTTGAAAGTCAATGCAATGATAAAAATTATTTGTACCTGTTAAGTATAAAATTTGAGGTCATAATTATTTACTTTTTAAGTAGTCTGCAAAATTATAATTTGAACATGAGTCTGTCCCGTAAAAGAATATTCGATTTACTAAAAACTATAAACATCGCATCGTAAGTAGTTTTTTGTGATATTTAAGTATATACTTGGTATTTAAATCTTGGTAACAGTTCCAAACATTCATATTTCATAGAAAACAGAATGTAAAAAAAAATATTTTCATGTTATATTGCCTACTGCAGACGCTGCTGCATTTATTAAAAAGTGTAATAATGTCTTCTGTATAAAGTTACTGTATAACTATAAACTTGTTGCAGAGATGACAAAGTTCTGTTTACATAGATTATGTATATCATTGTAAGGTACTACTCCCTATTTTAAGAGGTAAATAAAAAACATAAACAAATCTCAATTTATAGATGCCAATGTCCAGCACACAGTCATAGGGGTAATGTCCATGTATCTAATACTGCACTGACCAAGGATTATGCCTTTGAGGTAAGAGCAACATTATATTATTTAATTATAACTAATATTGAATTGTGCAAATAACATTAATATGTGTAAAATAGTTAAATACAAAAGTCCCATATCATATGGTATAGATTTTAACTCTTATAGTAGACAGTTATTAGTAGTTCAGGAGAGGGTTCTGAGTGGATTCTTTGGTATATAAGTCTTATAATAATGGAAACACAAAAATCAGAGCTCTCAATAAAATTATCATATATATTGAATTAATTTTAACTTCTTGTTGGATCAGCTCTTCCTGTTCTTATTTTTTGCATTTCGGAAATAATAGCTATTTGAAATATTCTGTGGCAGCCTTCAACACTCTAAATATGTCAAGTTTGCTGTTTTACTTCTCTTATCTATGTAATGTCGATTAAATAGATTTATAAAATATGAAAATATTTCTTTAATAATTTCAACTAAATCAACACTGTATGTATAATTAATAATTAGGAACTGCTTAGAATTTTCATTAGTAGCTATATTTGCCCCCTTATGAATTTCTGATGTGGTCAAAGATCTGCTGACATAAAAATTGATGTAATTGTGGGGAAAAATGTAAATGGTCTTTACGAAAATGGCTTTACAATGAATTATTTAAGGGCTGATCAAACCTTTTTATATCATCCACTTTCACATGCATTCTATATATGGAAACTTATGGACAGTAACATGTTGGTTTTACACTCACGCTTTAAAAATCTCTTGTGGACTTTGTGATGGCTTTTACTCAATTGAACGACTCGCTCGGCGCTCTTCGACTGGAGATACATAGGGATAATATGATCACATTAGAGATGAAGTAACTCACCATTATACCAATATAGACAATAAATAAGATCAACGTCAAATCAAAAAGAATGTGCCCTTAACACATACCTCCCTCGCACCCTGATCGCCCGCATCCAAAGTGAGCTCCAATAAGTCCACTTGGAACGTTCGACTCGGGCCGGCCCTACACCACAGGACGGCCCAGTGTGGGTTTCTTTTAGCTTGCCTTAAGCCACTCCGTCACGAGAGGGAACTCGATCGCAGGAGTTAATACTATGAAATACTTATAAAGTTAAAACTGACGCTATAATGATGGCTCGGTGGCGCTGTTGTCAAGGGCTTCAGCGCCGGGGGTAGTGAGTTCGATTCCCACATGGGACAAGTATTTGTGTGGCCCACATATAATTGTTTCGGATCTGGATGTTTGTTCACGTGAAATTTATGTTTGTAAAACGCTCTTACAACACAGGATAATATTATCCTACAGTAAGGGCAATGTTTTTTTAAATTCTAAAAAAAATTAACAATATTGTATTGGACAGGTTTTAGAAGAATAATATTTTGAACGCAGATACCATACTGACTGATATTATTATACTACATCTATTAGGGCTCTCTTAAATTAGAGTATGTGAGTGTACTTTTCACGATTAGGTAATTTTAATTCTGCATAACCACCAGCTAAATCAGGAAACAACAGATTTTTATGCAATTTTACACTCTTAAAATTATATCATCTAATATAAAAGTTTATGACGTTGGCAAACTTCGAATTATTGGATAATAGATGAATAACTTGGGTTAGGAAAAAAAAAGTTAATAAAGGCATTCAATATCTTACATACGCGCGCAGTTAGTATGTATAAAGTATAGGCAATTAAACACACGTATTTCAAATAAGTCACATCACTAACATGTTAACAATATTACATTACAGATTAAATGTTCCACCGTGAGGTATGGATTGGGTGTAACAAAGGAGGTAGGCATGGATTTAGCGAATTTTGGCGCGAAAAATGTGTGCGTTATGACAGATTCCAATATTGTGTCGCTAAGTCCTATGAAAGCGGTACTTGATTCTCTCGTGAAAAATGGAATAAGCTACAGTGTGTATGACAAAGTTCGAGTTGAACCCACTGATTCAAGGTGAAATTACATGCAAAAGACTTTTCTGTAATAAAAATAAATCTGTAACGACACTTTCTTTTGTTTTGGGCTTCAATTTGTTCAACCATTTGAATTTCAGTTTTAAGCATGCAATAGAATTCGCGAAGCAGGGTGATTTCGACAGCTATGTAGCAGTGGGTGGTGGCTCGGTAATGGACACTTGTAAAGCGGCCAATTTATATGCCTGCAACCCGCAGGCCGAGTTTCTTGATTATGTGAACCAACCGATCGGCAAAGGAAAAGCAGTCTCTGTGCCACTTAAGCCTATGATTGCAAGTAAGTTCAGAAAAATATTTTGTTTATAAATATACATATGAACAAAATGTGAGACATATACCAACACACTTTTATTCTGCATTTGGATGTTACGTAAAATATATGGTAATAATTGTTTACAATATGTACAGATAATATTTGTTTAATCAAACTGTCAGCGCATATTTTTACTTTATGATTATTGTTTCGGTTATATTTTTTATATTATATTTTTGAGATTATTGTTATATTTATATTATTTGTTATATCAGGTATTTTAGATTATTTGATATAGATACTAGTTAGAGATATTATTAAAAATATAAAAAACAGGAATTATTATTACATCACATTATGCATTTTAGTACCAACAACTAGTGGGACAGGGAGCGAAACGACAGGAATGAGTATTTTCGACTATGAAGAAATAAAAGCGAAAACGGGGATTGCGCATACGAGTTTAAGACCATTACTGGCTTTGATCGACCCTCTTCACACGTTGAGTGTGCCTCAAACGGTCGCAAATTACGCCGGTTTCGACATTTTCTGCCACGCATTGGAAAGTTTCACGGCTATTCCTTACACCGAACGAGGTCCAGCTCCGGAAAATCCGGCCTTGCGGCCAGTGTATCAAGGCAGTAACCCGATATCGGATGTGTGGGCCAGATTTTGTCTTCAGGTATGTGAAAAAAATCAGTACATTTTAAGTGCATCACACAAATTTTTATCCTCTTTAGTTTATTAGGATTTTGCTTATATATATGTATATATATATATATATATATATATATGTGTGTATGTATAAACACGTATCCATCAAGACTTAATCCATACAAGACATCCATACAAGACTTAATTCATAACCATTCATAAGTGTATAAAAATCGTATGGTGTACAACTTAACATGTCGTTTATTTTTATGTTGCCTTTGACATTAGGATACCTTACATTAATGATGTTAAAATGTCAAAAACGTAATAAATCAACCAGTATTATGATATTGCTTGATAGTTTTTATGAATTAAGTATTAATTTTACAACATTACATAACAAGATGGCATTAGTTTTGTTATCTGACGGAAACTGTACCTTTTTTTTTTTACCGGGCCGTCCGCTTACTTTGATGTAAATGTATGAATTATGTCGGCAGTGCCTTCAAAAATATTTCGCACGCTCTGTTAACAATCCGGACGACCTGGAAGCGCGCTCTAGCATGCATCTGGCCGCCACCATGGCTGGCGTGGGCATCGGCAACGCTGGCGTTCACATTTGCCACGGCCTTGCCTACCCCATAGCTGGTAACGTGAAGGATTTCGTACCGACACACTATGGGTATGAACATTTACTTGACCTACGCATAAGTTTTTATTGTCGCTTAATGCCATAATTGCTATTCGTGTACATGTTATAAATCAATAATTTTGTCGTCTCACACGTATATGTATATTTCAATTGAATTTTTTTATTATTTAAGATCGAAGTAAGCTTTGGAAGTGTTTAATGACGGTTACCGTGACTGTAAAAGTCATCTTGCGTGTGTTTCTTCTCGCCTCGGAATCAGGATCCATTGAATTGGAGACTACTAATTTTTTCTGTCAATTGTTAATACCATTTATACAGCGTGTCGTTACCATCGCGACAATAAATGAACACACGTCTAACGCTACTTGTCAATAATCATAAAAAAATCTTAACCTTAAAAAAATTCCATAATTAAAAAAAATATTTTTCAAAGTAATTAAGTAAAAAAGAAACAAAATTTGTAACATCCTATACAACTACAACTGACTGATTCATACATTCAGAGACATTTTCATTCGTTGCCACAACGTCGCATTACAAGCCTCTCCTTCTAACAGTATGTTTTGTCTCTTTTAAATTTATTAAACCCATCCATATGCTTTGTGACCTTTACAAATGAACTTTCCGTTACAGTTTTATACGTAAGGTTGTTCTAAAATTCTTCGTTTTGGAAAATTTTATAACTCTGTAAATATTGATGTTTAAAGAATGTAAATGTTTAATAAAATTTTAAAAAGTTATCCTCTATATGTGTGTTCATTTATTGTCGCGATTGTAAAGTCACGCTGTATACTGTGGTAGGGCCAGCAAGTCTTCTCTGTTGCACAAATGGGCAGGTCCGTACGGGTAAGTACCATAGAAAACCAGCGTGAAATGGAAGTATTATACTTTTGCGTTTCGTCTGGAAAGTGAGGTAGCCGGTGCCCACTTTATTAAAAGGTGAAAACGCGCCTGTAAACCTAACGGTGTTACTAATGTCAATGGTCGGCGGTTAAAACTTAACATCGGGTGAACCACCAGTTAGTTTTCCCCCTTCTTGCAAAAACTAAGATATAAACGTTGTAGCCATATAGGGTAAGTGTTGACGTCTTTTCTCATTAATATAATTTTGAATAATCCCATAAATACTGTGGAAAATTTTATTGTTTAGTTTAGTCCCTTTTTTCACAAAAACAACTGAATAAATTTTAAATAGATAAGAAAGAATACCACTTGTACAAATTCTTAACACATTTGATAGTTTTCATTCCGTCAAAAATATTTAACTTCGAAAAGAGTCACAGAAAAAGACAGACGGTCCTTCCTATACGTCTTCTTTTCAACCGACTTCAAAAACGGAGGAGGTTTTTATGTTCGTTATCTCAGAATTTAGGACTCAGTGAACCGATTTGATGATTTTTTTTTATTTGAAAGCTGGTGCTTCCCATGTGGTCCCATATTAATTTCATTGTTATTGGATCTTGGGCTCCGGAGATACGTAAGGAACTTCTAAAAATCTATTATATAATGAATACAGAGCCGAGATATTCGAAGACGGTTTTGTTTTACGTTAGTAAAAAATTGACTTGTCGGTAATTCCTTCCGATCCGCTATGCCGCTTCTTTACCCCTTCCTTCTGGGCATTCATTTCGATTTATTTTTCCGTTACTTCGTTGTTTGCAACGGCCCACGTGTCATTCAGAACGGACCCCATAATCCCGCACGGGCTGGCGGTGGTGCTGACTGCGCCTTCGGTGTTTCGCTTCACTTCCGCGAGCGATCCCGACAAGCATCTGGAGGCGGCCGCCCTGCTCGGCGCTGACGTCACCGGCAAGAAGCGAAGCGACGCCGGCAAAGTGCTGTCCGACACTATACTGAAGTACATGGACACCATGAAGATCGCGAACGGCTTGGGCGCGATCGGATACTCCGCCGAGGATATACCGCAGCTGGTGAAAGGAGCTCTGCCACAGGTAATGTTAGTGTGTAATAGTAATTACTTGCTTCTATTTTCACGCCCGGTTTCTGAAACACTGATCATCGTAGATGCAATTAATCAGCTGCCAAATGGCTTTTCAACTGTCATTTTAGTTGCCAAAAGGATGGTTAAACTCTTTGAATTGAATATTCTGATCATTAAGGACATTCTGGTTAATTCAGAGACTTTAACCATCCTATTGGGATCTAAAATGAAATTTGAAAAGCCATTTGACAGCTGATTACTGACATCTACGATGATCAATATTTCCAGTGGCGGATTTGCCCTAAAGCCCATTAGGCCCGGGCCTAGGGCGGCCACGTATTAGGGCGGCCACGTATTAGGGCGGCCACGTATTAGGGCGGCCACGTATAGGGCGGCCACGTATTAGGGCGGCCAATCGTGACAAAAATTCACTGATGATAACAAGATATATGATAGGCGCTGAGAAAGGGGCGGCTGGAACTACAAATCCGCCACTGAGTGTTTCAGAAACTGGGCGTAAGTGTGGGTACATGGATACGTCAAATTTTTGCCGTTCAGTGCTTGTACTGACTGGCCTGGCCTGGCCAATTAACGTGTTACTGGACAAATTACGTGATATATATTTGCCGAGGTTTCCTCATCAGAACATCCTGGGCTGGAGATTCCGTGATTTTATTTATTGTTTTTTTACTAAAATTAATAATGGCTATTGAACGGTAAACGCACAAGTTTAGTAAAAGCTTATTCAAGTTTGCGTTTATACACGTAAGGATAATACGACATCCAATTTATAAAACTACAGAAAATATGAATCTTTAACATTAGTTTTATGTATAAAATATGCTACGGGCATACTCTAAAGGTCATTGTGCATTTTTTTAATCAAGTGTTTTGCTAGTCAATTTAGTCGTATTTTAAACAGGCAATACGAGTCAAATACGATAAAATTTGAAGTACGAGCAATCTTTATTATAAAAATGTAAATCTTTCAGAATCGTTTGTTAAAGATAGCACCTGTACCGCAGTCAGAAGAAGATTTATCCAAAATCCTTGAAGAATCGCTGACGCTTTACTGAGTGGTAAATGCAGTTGTTTTCAATTTCTTACAACTAAGTGTATATGGACTGAATTAGAAAATATGTTAAAAGTTTTTAAATGTTAATAAAAAAACTTAAAAATTACAGTGTAGTTTTTAATAATTTTAAGTACATAAAATGAACCTATCACAACTAATTTGTATAATATATAATTAGGTATATCTTAAATTAATTTGTTTTAATTTGACTTTCATTTGTTACTTTTATTCGTTATTATCAAATAAAATAAGCGCTAGGTTGAGAAAAAAGTAATATCTTGTCGCGACATTGTTCGAAAGTGATCGTTGAAGGCACTAGAAGAAATGCTCATAATATTGTGATTGATAATATGTATCCCTCCGTGACTAGCGCTTAATCTATCACTTATAAAGTTAACGTAGTTGTTAATTTATCGTATTTACTGTAATATTTTTGTGCCGAGCGGCTCAGACCGCCTCGGGGACGATGTTGCTGTGGTGGAAGGGACTGCTTTCGTACGACATGTTTGATGCGTTCACGGTGACGTTGTGCAGCGGCGCGTAGCGGTTGACCTTGGGGGTCTTCGGCGCGGTGAGGTCCTCCGTCAGCTGCTGGTACACGAGGCCGCAGTCCTTCTTCGTGCGGCCCGGGTGGCTCATCGCGGCGATTATGGCACTGTTGTATCTGATCTGCTTGCTCTTCTTGTTGCACATCACCATCACGACCTTGGCGATGACGACGAGGAGCAGCAAAGCGCCCAGCAACGCGATCAGCATCGGCCACAGGTAGCCGTAGCGGCCGTGCTCGGGTTCCGTCGCGTAGGCCCGCACGTCCACCTCAGGTTCGAGGTCGTCGTACATGTTGTCGTTCTCGAGCAGCTTGATGTCGATCTTGACCTTGTCTGGCGGCCGCTCCGTTGCCAGGGGCTTGTACGTGCTCAGGTTTATAGCGGGCTTCTCGATCAATTTCACCTTGAGGTCGACGTCGCCGTCGTCGTAGTCCTCGCCCGAGTCGTCCTCGTCGTCTTCTTCCTCGTCCTCGGCCTCGTCATCGGCGTCCGCGTCATTGTCGTCGTCCGCGTTGAGCTTGTTGTCGCCCGTGACGGCGTTGTCGTCGGCGACTTTTCCGTCGTCAAGCGTGTCCTTCAGATCGAAGTTGCCGTCGGCATCTTTGTCGATCCTCTCCCAGATCTCCTCGTCCGACACCGGCGGCAAGGGCTCGACCGGATGCACCAACGCGGTGCCGCATGTCTTCTTCGTGAGGAACTCCCAACTGTACGCGCCGTCCTCCTCCTTCGTATCTTTGCCCAGGTTCGCGATATTCGCAGAATTGGAGCTAGGAGAGACTTTACGGTTGCTGAGCCAGGTCATCAGGTTTTCGAAGTCGCGACTGCAGGCAAGGGGATTGTTGCTGATGTCCAACGTTCGAAGTTTGTTCAAACTATCCAACTCGGTCTGTTTAATCTCATTGATGCGATTATGCGAAACATTGAGGAAACTCAAGTTGCTGAGAAGCATCGCCGTGTGATTCTTTTCGATCTTCCACAGCGAAGTTAACTCGGCGTGACTCATATCGAGCGTAGTCAGAGCGGGCGTGAAGACGAAGATTTCCGCAGAAAGTACTTTTAGCGGATTTCCCTGCAGATTCAATTTTCCCAATTCCTTATTTTTCTCAAAAACTTTCACGTGCAAAGCAGTCAATTTATTGTATGCAAGGTTAATGTCAACCAGTCTGGGGCATCGTGAAAATACCTCAGTGCTGATAGATTTAATGTTATTGCCGGCGAGGTTGATCTGAGATAGAGCCGTGAAGGTTTTCAGCGAGTCATTCTCGATTTCTTCAAGACCGCAATTCGATGCGTCGAATAAGTAAATGTTAAATTGCTCCGCGGAGCAGTTGAAACCTTCAGCTGGCAAGTGCTTCAGTCTTGGATTATTCGAAATTTTGAATATGTCAAGCTCAATGTTTTCTTTTATTAAATAACCAGAGATGAAGTCTAAGTCGTTGTATGAAAGGTCCAAATAATTCAGTTCTACAAGTTTGTGGAAGGCTTGGTTATGTATTTTCTCAATGCTGTTACCGCTCAAGTTGAGGTTTGCAATGTAAGTCATACCATTAAACATGGATGGGCCGATGAACTTAATATTTGTCTGACCAGCATTAAGAGTAAGTAAGTCTGAAATTTGTAGACCGTACACAGAATCAATCGGATTTCTCTGAATATGAAGTGTAGCCAGTTCGGTGTTTTCAGAAAATATGTCTTCCGGGAGAGATTTAATATTGTTGTCGCTCAAGTCGAGTTCCTCCAAATCAAGAAGCTTTTTGAAAGTGTTTTCATCCATATCAGAAAGGTTATTTCCGGCAACGTTTAGGTACATGAGACCTGGCATATTCTTGAAGGTGTTAGCTGTTATGTATTGCATGTTGCAATACGAAACATCGAGTTCTTGTACAGAAGATGCATTAAGGAAATATTCGTGCGAGCCCGCAGCGGGGAACTTTAATTGATTGTTCGAAAGCGTTAGTAACAATAATTTCTTGTTATTAGCAAAAGTTTCGGGGTGTAGAGTTTTCAGTTTATTGTTAGACAAGTTTACTGCGTACAGTTCGTGCAAACCTTGGAACGCGTTAGGACCGACAAAGCCAATGGTGCTGTTCACAATCTTGATGGTGGCTACCTGGTGTAGACCGAGTTTCTTGAAGATGTAATCATCAATCTGGATCGGGAATGTTGGATCGGCGTTCTCGATCACGAGGTCGGTGATGTCGTCACCGAATTTCTGCGTGCCAACTTCGAGGCGATTGCACTTGGCTATTCTGTATCCTTGGGATACAGTGCATATGCAATCCCTTGGGCAGGGCCTGTCCTCGCTGAACAGCACTTCCTGGTCTTCAGCTGAATCGTAGTCCTCATACTGGAATAGGAAGTTGTCGGTGTCTTTGCTGATATTCTTGGCTGTTTTGTTCACAGGCTCACTGAAAACAAGTGCGCATGCTGCCAGGAGCAGAATGAACTCCCGGGACCTCGCCCCCATGTCGTAGCGAACTCTGAAACGTGAAAAAGAAATGTTCAAACACCGATGTTGATTGTATCGGTAAATGTTGCATAATTTACCTAAGCTAACCGCTATAGCTAACAAGGTAGAACAATAGTGTTTTCGAATTTACTCGTTCATTACAGTTAACACATTAGCTTTAGCGTTGTACTTGTTGCAAACCAGATGTATTCAACGTAGTTGTTGCTTTGTTCTAGTGAAATCTTATCTGGGCATTGTCCATCTGCCGGTGCGTCATGCCTTACAGACACGTGATCTCGATTAGAAATTTGGCTTTAATACTGAACTCTTCACAGGCTTATTGAGTATATCCTTGTGGTTTGCTATGTTTGTACACATACTGTCCTCTAAATCTGGCCTCAAAAGTATATTTTCCGTGCCGACAGATTTTGCAATGCCGCGCCGTCTTTATATGTACGTTAATTATTCGTGTAAACGATACTACGATCATTGTTAACTTTTGAAATCACAGACACTATTTCGTTATCTTTTTAAAACTATAGCACTTAAAAGAATTAGGTATACGAATAAGCGGTAGTATACATCACAAGATAGCTGGCGATGATGGACGATAACAGAACTGTTAGTTACTTAAAATAGAAAGTTGAAGTACTTTCTCGGTTCGGTTGAAGAGAGACAGCTGACTGGCAAATAGAATTTATCGATATTTAGGATCGAATAATCATAGCGAGATAAAGAGAAGAGTAGGTACGCGAGAATTGAGAGTTCTATGTAGAAACGTGCGTCGAACAAACAAAGAAACTACACAGTCGCCTTCTGGCCTAGAGATCTGAGTTTTATAGGATCATACAACACCATTACAAGACGATAACGCTTCATAGATCTTTAAATAGACACAGAATTAGTGATGCAATTTGTGAAGAAAAAAAATACAGATACTACTTCTTTAAGCAAAGTTTGGACACGTTAACCAACTAAGCTACATGTGTTTGTCCTAGCTATCGCATTGTGAACAGATATCCTAATTGTATTTATATTGTATAAATAAATATGTATATTATGCGCTGTATTAGCTAAAATCGATGTTTATTGTCAATGTTTTTATACTGGATAACAATTTTACTTCTTATTTTGGCTTATATCTTATCTTTATGCGTAGTATTAAAACAATAATCAATTTAAATTTCAAGAAATGACAGAGAAACTGTTTGCTATTCAATTTTTTCCTAGATTCCGTTCCTCTTGCAATAATAAGTTTATACTGGATCTATTGGTTGCAAGATATTTCTTTTTTAGCGTAAGATATATTTTACAATCAGATCTTATATTACGAGGAAATTCGTCGAAGAAACGGTGTCTCCCCGGATTTCCAAAGTAAAGTGGCAGTGGAGAGTTTGCAAGACGGTGGGCAGGCCACGTCGTCCGAAGTACTGATGACCGATGAGGAGTAAAAGTTCTCGCGTGGCGACCACGAACCGGAAGACGTAGCGTTGGAAGGACTCCCTCTAGGTGGACCGATGACATCGTATGAGTTGCGGGCAACCGGTGGATGCAAATGGCAAAGTGTCGTTCGTTGTGGCGTCCTATGGGGGAGCCCTATAATCAACAGTGGATGCCTTGCAGTTGATGATGATGAGATCTTATATAACACGGGATTAGATGAAGCGCTAAAGGAATATTTGTGTCTCAAATAAGTTGTTGCTACCCCCAAGTATCAAAATTCGTAATACGGTATTTTGTAACAGTCAAATGAATGAAACTCATTAATACAGAGAAACTATGGATAAAAGTGTATAAGTGCCTGCGTTCTATGTACATTTTGTATCACTGTTTCAGCGCCGTTGACATTAAGAACAAATGATAAGATTAGATAAGGACATCGGGACACCGTACAATACCTGATGTAACCGTATTTAAGAGCTACGACGAAAATTTGTTACTCATGAAATATTTACTAGAAATTAATTGTTCATGATTTCAGTAGGACAAGTTACGTGAAACCGCTAAAATTGTATTGCTGTATTAACATGTACTTATGTCAAAATAAGTGAGATCCACAAACAAGTGAAACAATTACAAACATTTTGTAAAATGTAACATTAATGGAAGGGGCCTATTTAATAGTCCCTGTTATATAGGCCCCTTCTATTATGGAGTCTTCCTCTGACTCTTTCTATGCACTTGCAAGTCCCCTGGCTGCTGCTGATTTTATACGTAAAAAAATTGTATAGGTATATCATTTTTAACAAAGGAGAAGAAGACCTCAGTTTCTTACCGCTTCTTCTCTGCACAGGTTAAAATCAGTGCACCGAGAGTAGATTTTGTTCGATTCAATAAGAGCTTAAAAACAGCCTAATTTGAACAAAGAAAACTGACTGAAAAGATTTTGGAATTTAGAATGAAACCAAACTAATCCAAAATCCTATATGCATACATATATACAATCATGTTGATTGCAAGGAATAAAAATTTGGCTCTCGCACAACTGAAAAAGTGCCCGACGGCCGGAGGCATTGAAAATAATAGTAAAATAAAAACTGTAACAACTTTTTAACTGGGTCTTTATTTTAGTCCACTAATTAGCATTTGACACGTGTGTGGTTATGTCTAAAAAATGATCTAATCAGATCGTTTTTTTGCGACGTACGCACATCCATGCCAGATGTGCGAGCAAACGAATTAACGTTTGACACATTATCGATTGGCATCATAACGCCGGCTTGTGTCGGCACATAATACAATACCGAAGCGATCGTAGCGGTACCTACCGCGATGAATATTAAAATGGCGGACTTAGATAAATTATATATTTTGCATACAATCGCACCGGGGACCTACATTGACGCCAAAGTTCGTGCAAATATGTTCAGCGAACTGAATCTTTACTACGATCGACCGTAAATCACGATTTTTATTATCGATCGACCCGCTTTGGCTACAACAACTGGCCTGTTTAATAAGCCTTTTTTTATTCTATCGGTATACCAAGAGCTTGGTAATTTAAGTTTATCGCGAAACTGGCAAGCGTCGCTCTACCTTATTCTATTACCAATTATGAATAAAAAAGATGAAGGCATTAACATTAAAATGTGGAATAATAATTTCGACTCCATTATTAGATATTAAAGTAAAGTATCAGCCTATACATGCCCCATTGCTGGGCAAAGGCCTCCTCTGTACAGAGGGTATCACCGCATAGTCCACCACGCGGCCGCACTGCGGATTGACGGACTTCACATATCTTCAAAATATATTATTTCTTATATTTCGTTATTATTTCAAAAATATGCAGGTTTCCCTCACGATGTTTTCCTTCACCGCAGAGCACGTAATAGTAAAACCATTATTAAATAAGCCACCCAATATGCATACCCTGTCATCCCCATACAAACATTCCCTAAAATACTTAAAGCCACGAGTTATATTAAAGTTGTCATTTACAAACTTACTTGATGATAATAATTTTACTTTAACTCTTGACCTTTCGTGTTTATTGAGTTCCCAGTGTAATCACTGGTAAGCTTTTTTATGTGCATACCATCTCTAAAATCTCCGAGCATGCCACTGCATGCAGCTTGCACGTAGATTTTTTTAAATTAATTTTAAAATGAATTATTGAAATCACAAAACATTAATATGATTTCAAAAGACCTATTTTATTTCTGTTACATTAAACCAATAAACGATAATTTTGAGTAATTATTTTTTTAAACATTTACCAATGCGCCAAAAATTGGCCATTTTGATTTTTTTTATTTCAAAGCAGTGACTCGCACAACCAAGTTGAATCTAACAATATAACATTCATACCGAAAGAAAGAAACACGTTTATTTACGGTCTAAGCACAATAGATACATAACCAACTTAAAAGATAATTTAATTGCACAGAATATAAAATAATATTGCACAAATTAAAATAAATGAAGACATAACAAAAAAAAACCAGTGAAAGTCTGAGCAGCAGCTTAAGGCCGTGAAATGGACGGGATTCGGTAAAAATCGGGAGAGTACACACATACATACAGGACAATGAAATAACCCTCTTTTTTGGCTTCGCCGCAGTCGGGTAATAACCGTATTTTACAAGAATTTTAATAACCAAGGCGCAGAGCTAAACCATAGTCTATCATCACCTTCGAGAACTATTTTTTATGAACAAAAGTAATTTTTTAGAATTTAAGTTTAGTTGTGATGGCTAACGCCTATACAATAGCACATTATATTGTTGTATTACAATGTTTTCAATATAAAAAAGGAGTAATGATAATTGGTCTATTTATTAGAACGAACTATAGCTAAGTACCTCCTTTAGAATGTTGAACAAACATTATCTTCTAACAACAAAACTCAGATGCCCAATTAGCTATATATTAGTTCATTTGTGATGTTCAGTTTTGAAAGACATCATTACAGAAATTAACTTATTGGTAGTCAGCTTCATTGACGATTTGGTAACTGAACGCGGCCGTATATTATCTGTGAACGTTAGAATTTATCAAATAATTTAATGAATCAAGAATAATATTTATTAAATATTATTATTATTATGACGTAATTTTCATAAAACAGCAGTCTAAATTTATATTGCATCGTGTACAGACCATTTTGGTTATTAAAATCGTTTCGTTTCCCTTTACTTAGAGTTGGTCGAAATAAGTGATTCTCTCAAAGTTTTCTCCCAAAGGCAAATCGTGATTTTAACATATGAATGAATATTGTCCATAAACAGAGTGAATGTAAGCATCGCCCTGTTTGTTCAAAGCATGAAAGGCTCGTGTGAACGAGCGATGTTAGTTTTCTAACAAATGTGATTTCAACATGATGAAGCGTGTGAGATCGTATTGACCGAATGGCCGCTGTGGTCGTGCTATACGGGCGGGTGACGTCACTTCTCAATTAGGACGAAACCAATGAACGCTAGTGTTGTTTGCAGAGTCTAAAACAACTCGTAGTCTCTTGGCTGATTTGAGAGTTCAAAGGGCACCATTAAATAACAAAAAGAAGGAAGGAGACTAGTGTAATCGGATACTTCGTAGATATGAGATAAGTTGAGAGCAATGGTACAGATACAAATGTCGACATAAAAATCTAAATGGGTACCTAGTTAAACTCAAAACTCTGAAAATATGTTCATTTTTTTAATTACAAAAAAAAAACTAATTTAAAAATGTTTGATAAAAATAACTTCCTAATTAGTTTTACTAAACAAATATTTTACTAATTCTTAAGACATGTTCTCTCTTGAATTCAGAAAAAAATTTCAATAGACGTGTTGCCAATATTATTGTTGTATATTTGTTCATCGCAATCTGTAAGAGAAATACGTACCTTATGATGACGCTCTTTTGAAAAGATATATTTAAGAGTGGAAGCGTTCGTATCGGTGGCTTCAGATGTATTCGTAAATTTTGGAGGTAAAAACCGTAAATGATTTGAGGAAACAGGGTGAACGACACTGAACAATGATACGCGCATTATGTGAACCTAGACGGTTCTACTAAGTGTTTTGCCTATTGTATTATTCGCACAAATGAGCACAAAATCACTTGTACCACTCAACCAGTCTGTTATATTTTTTTATTTTATGGATTATGATTTATTTAATACACACGAACACTCTTAATTATACCTATTTTACAGATTCTTTCGTTGCAAAATTTTATTTAACGTTTTGAGTATATGACACAGATCAATCAGTCTTTTCTTCGGTGGCAGGGACACGCAGCGGCTTTTGCCGTTGCACGCATGGGCAGGCTCAGTCGGGAACTAACAGTAACTAGGGCTCACTTCTTTTAAAGGTTGCCAAAGCATCTGCAACTCGTGTAGTGAAAATGTCTATGGGCGGCAGTTATGAATTATCAGGTGAACCGCCTGCTTGTTTGCCAACTTTTCACATAAAGGGTTACAAGGAAAACTTTTACGAGTCTCCCGGGATTTCAAAAAAATTAAACGCGACTTTATCTTGTTTAATCTAGTTACGATCAGTTTACATGATCCATGTTAATGATAATAACGAGAAACCACTACTATTACATTTGTTAAGTAATACAACATATGTATGCGAAGGCTTGAATTAAACTATGTTTAAGACGTTTATCTCACCTATGTCCTTGTTCAGCCACCCAGTTACACTTTAATTGAAATCTGCAACAAACGAAGGCCAATATTATTCTCTTATTATATTATATTACATGCATTCATGTGAACACAATTTGCGACTGCGCTTTGTGTATCGAGCAATGTGTTAAGATAAACTGTGATACGCAGATTATGGACAGCTGAGAGACTTGTTTATTTTAACATGATGTTTTAAGATTACAGTGCTTCTCAAACGTTTCGCTTAGGTTTTACTTTGTGGTGGAAATTACATTTTATTATAACTACAGCCAGTTTTGCCAATGACTGAATAGATTTTCAAATAAATTATATAATACAGCCTTTCTAATAACGCAGTCTCGGAATTAGCGAAATAGAAATGAAAATAAATGAATGAAAATATATATCAGTAAGGTGTAGTATGGCCGTATTATTATTAAAAATAATAATTTGGTCAAGATAAAACTCAAACCTCCAATGCTATGAACGGACGCATGCCTGATCCAGTTTAATGTTCTAAATGAAGTTAAATATTATCTTAGCTTTAAAGCGTTACTTTCAAAACAGCAACGGACCGTTGCTCGCGACCAATTAGCGGAATGTCCTTAACAAAGAGCACCGAATAAAAGTGAAACGATCCAACGAACTCGACAGATGGCCGGGTGGGTCACTGGCCACACTTTCAGTCCACCTTAGTCATGTGCCGGCCGCATTATCGATTTTGCATTCGAACGGCGTATCGATAAATAGGAACAGTCGCGGATTACTCGTAGCCAGGCTTCTATACGACGCGCTGGTGAGCAGAATGGGCGTGGCTAGTCAACTCGTGCGGCTAAGACTGGTTCCGATTAAGCTCGCTTACTGCGTTGCGTTGTAAAATAAGGAAGGAATGAACCAATTTTAAAGATGTCACATGTGTTTATCGCCGTTTTATTTGTGGTATGTCTGCGATAAACGTTATCGGATACTAATGTTTTTAATCAAACAAAAAGCGTTATTTACTCCGATACGTGTATTACAGTATATTTTATCCTCTATTTATGAAGCAGTACCGTCAGTAGATATAATTAGTAGCCCAGGCACGCCTTAATTGTGGATAAACTGCGATGAGATCGGATGTCATTATAAGCGTTAAACTCCTATCGCCTTGAATGTAGAAGGTCGTTAAATCATTCCGTCGCTTGAATAGCAATGCACGAACTCAGCGGTCTGGCCATATAGCCTTTTTCAACTCATCTCCATTTGACCGGTAGCGTGAGCTTCCAAACTGTATCTCCAAAGTTGTTTAAGGACAAAAAAACGGGGCGAGTAGACTAGGTTATTGGTATTGTTTCCAGCTATTTTTGGTGTTGAATTTTACAACAGCATTAAATATTATGTCAAATCACTGACCGATAAAGGTCTATGAAAGGGTATTGAGATGCCGGTTGATAAAGTAAAAAGAAAGGACAAGTTGTACCCAACCCAAGTAGTGTGGGACAAGGGCATGAAAAAGAAGAAGGCTGTAACAAAGTATAGTAAAATATGAACGCTCGTAGAAAAAGAAATGTACTCAGGAATGAACAGTACTCTTTGGAATAATACTTTGGAATATGCAAAACAGATCAATTTTATGATAATCTCAAGTTTATAACGATAGTTCCTATCAAAGTTTCCTATTACAATTCTATAATCACTGATTATTAATGTCATAGGTGTGCCTATTTAGGAAAAATCGACTTGATTGAAACATTTTCACGAAGAAATCATTGTTTAATAAAATTTATCAGAGGCTACCACAAGGTAAAAGCGAATATGAATGTGTTCGAAACCTATGGATAATCTTTCTTAATATTTTGCACAGCCTAGTGACTAGAACCAACATAACTTTCCTAATAATTGTATAGACAAAACATCTACCTTTATAATTCAGATGCTACACTTGAAATATTCATGGCGACAAGATGTAGGCATAATTTTCTGCATGCTGCATAATAGTAGAAACTTCGAGGTAAAAGTAACAACTGCTCGAAGGCGACTTACAGTAAGTTTACAACAGTTGTATGGAACAGTTTTCTTGGTAATTTAATACAGAAAATTTATTAAACGCGAGTGCAAGTTTGTCTTAACAATTTGGATAACATTTTTACCATTTTAGGTAAAACTGTTAAAATTAATGTCATCGTAACATTTATATTCTATTATATACTGTTGTAACTACATACAGGAATTGTTTTACATTGATTTTATTCTGTTGTTTAGATATATTAAAGTGGAGGAAATCCTAATATCATAACAACTTAAGCATGTTAAGCGTACTAGGCCATCACCTCCTTCAAGTCTAAAGAGGTAGCTATTGCCATGAACGTTTTACCGAACTTACTTAGTCCCTAAGTTATGAATCTATCCACATATGCTGAGCACAAATGTGAGATACTGATTATCATTATTATACTCGTATAACATTTAAAAATATGAAAGAATGCAAATTCATTGGACCACTCAGATTTTATCATGAAATAACGTCTCACAAGAGACAACCAACGTATTAATTGCAAATATTTTAATGTAATATGAATTCTAATAGTCTAACTTAAACGAAATTTGGAATTCGAAATTGAAGACCAATATTTTATATATTGTAGGATCTTTAGCTGTAAAGCTTTCGTTGCTTTCTTTTGCCTCGTTGTGAAGAAACAGCTAAGGACACATCTGAATAACGAAATAAATAAATTCCTTTCATTTTTTATGCATACACTCGATCAAATCATGTTGTGTCGGAGAGATTTGCAAAAAACATGTTGCACACGATCACTGATACTCGTTTCTTGCGTGTGCGAATGCGTGTAATTTTCGGATGCAAAGCATACTTCCCCCAATTCGGCTACAGCCGCACTGATCCTGTTTATTTTTATTAGACATGCACATACATACATGCGTTGAAACTTGTAAACTAGCCTTCAGCAGTTTATTTTGCTCCGGCTATAAGCAGATCCATTAAAAACGTATGAAACGTGCTTTTCTATTGTTTGAGCATTCGTTTGATTCTAGAACATTTCGTGTAAGTATCAATAAAGCCGCCGCTGCCCGAACGTTCGCCAGTTTCGAGAGCCTATGCCGTTATGTTGGCTTGCACATGCACCGCCGACAGCATGTTTTGGTTGTCGATGAAGGTAAACATAACTTTCTAAATGAGCGAATAAGAAAGCTTCTCTTAAATAGGGTAAAAGCGAAGCAACTTAACATAAACAATAACATCGTTGAAACAATTAAAAAAAAATAATATATAAGCGTTATTTTTGGAAGATTGAGTATGTTTTCGAATTAATTTTTATATTATAGTCGTAGTAAGTGCTTTGCGATAATTTATTAAAGACAACGATACATACTTATAGTGTGTTTCCTCTTAGATCATAGCCCGAGAGCATAGGGTGACTCATGATCGAGCCAAAGTCGATTTAACTAAATATATTTTTCGTTGCAATACTTTGAAAGTGCTGGATATTTGATTCGTTTTTGTTCAGCGACAATTCAATTCAATAACGCGAATTAAGGCGGTATGGGCATACACCCGTGAAACAGTGCATGAATGCAAAGAGACGGCTGGGCCTTTATGGACTAAACATTCCTTCACACTTACACGCACCCGTGTTTTATATCGTACTTCTGTGAGGTTTCTTTTAAATCGCTTCAGCAGATAAAGCTCAAAGTTGCTTGTCGCGTTCTAACACCTGTCATCCATGTCGCCGCACGTTTGTTTTTTGCGGTACGAAACCAAATAATGTAGTTTTTCGGCTTTATCAAATTACTGACGACGGCCACCTGGACGCGGCAGATATTATTAATGAATTATTCAACCTAATGTGTTTTCGTTGAAAAGTATGTCGGTCTCGATTGTTCTTATCGGTTTTGGTAAGTGACACATTAAGTGGATATATTCAGAATTGATTTAAATATATCAACTCAATATTATCGAATAAATAAAAGGCAGATGCATTCACAGCTAACGAAAAATTGATCGTGTGTTTATATTTGCAAACAGCATTTTAGACGCTTCCCTATCTTTTGGATTGCAAATATCGAACCTCATGAAACTTGTCTAACTGACAATTCTAACCGTGAATTACAATATTTAAGCTTGGGAAAATATAAGAAATAGTGTGAAAAATGAATTTGTGCACTAAAAGTTTGTTATTTCAAATTATGAGAATGAAGTCAACACGTCAAAATGGTGAGCTCATCGCTAGTTTTGCAGCAGTTGTCGTTAAAAACGACTTAGTAAATCAGTCGCCGAGTGGGTCAATCAAAGACAAGGAAATAGTTGATTGTAAATCGCCAAGTTATAAATGATTAGTTAAGCGAATCATGTTCAGTTGCAATTAATCTTGACAATGTAGAACTTTCTAGAGTTTATGAAATTAATATTTGATTAAACGCAAGTACTAAAAGAATTCCAAAAACAAAATGTAAAACAGTTGTTTCTATTTCCGTTTACGGCTTCTTAAAAGAGAACACTATTATTTTTTAAGCTTTTATTGGGAAAAATAATCGACAGTGTGCTCTTTTTCGTGCGAAATTTTCTAATAGTAATTAAAATGCAAATGAAGTGAGATACTTGTGGCCTAAGGAGTCAGTCAACTTATGACGTAAAATCTGAGGATCACTTAATGGTTTTTGCAAAAATAGCGGTCTTAAATTTTTATTAAACATTATTTTCACCTTTAGATATGTTAAAAATCAAATAATAACTTTACTGAAAATTGGATAACTTATTTTCATCTATTCTGTTAACGGTTAAAGTTTTTTTAAAGGAGGATAAAAACGGTGTCAAATTGAAAAAAAAAAAGATGAAAAAAGATCTGTTAAGTTCCGACTTTCTACAGTGTCCTTTTTCTGCGCATTTAAAATCTAAACAACTTTATTTGTCGAAAATAGTGGTCAATTTCGTAGGGCGTAAGTTAGGCTTTGCGCAGTTATTAAAATGTGATACCAAACGTTGTGTGCGTGTTTTCGATTGACGTTTCACGGAAAACATTGATACAAGAGATATGCACCATACCAGGTGGTTT